TATGGGAATCCTGCCTCTGTCTAGTCGAATTCCATTTTTCCAACGCTGAAGTGGCATGCACAACAGTACATATGTATGTATATTTGTTCGGCACCATGGGAATTCGGCACATTGTTTTCGCGAAGTTGATAAATTAGCAAGTGCGTTAAGGGCTGAGTCTTTTGGCTTATACAAAGTGGAAGTTCGTTACTAAATAAAAAAATAAAAAATATTTGAAATAACAGAATAGTGCGAGTGTTTAAAAATGCCTAAAGCTAAAAGAAATTTGTCAAGACAAACGGCCCGTAATCAGAGAATAGTAGCAGCGGCGCAAATAGAAACGATGCCTGCAAACGGAATTAGATCTGCGTTTATTTATCGACCTCAAATCAATTATATATGTAGGTGATTTTTACAATAAAAGTGTATCTACACATATCAGTGCCGTACCTATCAGTGTCAGTGAAAAATATAATATGGTTGCCCCAGTCCCAAATAGAGTTGTTCACACCGTCCGGCACAATGCCGATTTTTACAGTTCAGTGTTCGTTCCGCAATTTTTTATACACTCTAAAAACTGCATAGAAAACTGCTACTGAGAAGTGGTTATTTTTAAATACAATATGTGTAAGTATACGCATAAGATGTTCAAGACTGGATTTTTGAACATGAGATGTTNTTTCCGTTAAGTTGAAATAAGATACCATAATCAGGCTTTTAGACTTAATACATGCATACATATGTACATAACTATGTTCAAATTAGAATTTATATGGTAAAGTAATTTAGCCCTGTTTTTTTATGGGAATCCTGCCTCTGTCTAGTCGAATTCCATTTTTCCAACGCTGAAGTGGCATGCACAACAGTACATATGTATGTATATTTGTTCGGCACCATGGGAATTCGGCACATTGTTTTCGCGAAGTTGATAAATTAGCAAGTGCGTTAAGGGCTGAGTCTTTTGGCTTATACAAAGTGGAAGTTCGTTACTAAATAAAAAAATAAAAAATATTTGAAATAACAGAATAGTGCGAGTGTTTAAAAATGCCTAAAGCTAAAAGAAATTTGTCAAGACAAACGGCCCGTAATCAGAGAATAGTAGCAGCGGCGCAAATAGAAACGATGCCTGCAAACGGAATTAGATCTGCGTTTATTTATCGACCTCAAATCAATTATATATGTAGGTGATTTTTACAATAAAAGTGTATCTACACATATCAGTGCCGTACCTATCAGTGTCAGTGAAAAATATAATATGGTTGCCCCAGTCCCAAATAGAGTTGTTCACACCGTCCGGCACAATGCCGATTTTTACAGTTCAGTGTTCGTTCCGCAATTTTTTATACACTCTAAAAACTGCATAGAAAACTGCTACTGAGAAGTGGTTATTTTTAAATACAATATGTGTAAGTATACGCATAAGATGTTCAAGACTGGATTTTTGAACATGAGATGTTTAAAATACACACACGAAATGTTTATAATTGCAAACGTTTTTAACGCAAAAATAGTCCCTCTAAAAAATAAAAATTAAGTACATTTGATGTGTAATTTTGCTCTATGCGACAAATTTGGTATGTAAAACAAACAGGCAGTTTTTTAATTTTATTAACACGGTGTCTAAATTTGCAAACATCAGGAAAGGGGACTGGCAACCTCTCTTAATATGCGTTAATTCCAAAACAAAAAACTTTTAGAACAAATTTTAAACATTTTATGTGTAAACTGTGTAATTGTGAACACTAAGAAAATTCTATAGATATTTTTTTAGTTAAGTTTAACTAATAAACTCTAAACTCTAAAAACTGCATGGAAAACTGCTACTGAAAAGTGGTTATTTTTAAACACAATATGTGTAAGTATACGCATAAGATGTTCAAGACTGGATTTTTGAACATGAGATGTTTAAAATACACACACGAAATGTTTATAATTGCAAACGTTTTTAACGCAAAAATAGTCCCTTTAAAAAATAAAAATTAAGTACATTTGATGTGTAATTTTGCTCTATGCGACAAATTTGGTATGTAAAACAAACAGGCAGTTTTTTAATTTTATTAACACGGTGTCTAAATTTGCAAACATCAGGAAAGGGGACTGGCAACCTCTCTTAATATGCGTTAATTCCAAAACAAAAAACTTTTAGAACAAATTTTAAACATTTTATGTGTAAACTGTGTAATTGTGAACACTAAGAAAATTCTATAGATATTTTTTTAGTTAAGTTTAACTAATAAACTCTAAACTCTAAAAACTGCATGGAAAACTGCTACTGAAAAGTGGTTATTTTTAAACACAATATGTGTAAGTATACGCATAAGATGTTCAAGACTGGATTTTTGAACATGAGATGTTTAAAATACACACANGCGAAAAACTACGACAGAGGGCGCCCATAAATCACGCAAGTGACTACTTTAGTAACTCCCGGTAGTGCAGAGAGAGCCGATGGTGACTACCGCCTAGGACATTGCCTTGTAAAAGTAATCGATGAAATACACTGCAAGTAGTCGGTCGGTAATTGACGGTGTTTATTAGGTAGCTACCGATTCAGCAGTCCTGTAGTCACTGCCCCGTACTGCAGGGTACCGTGCGACATACTACGGATGTGTGTGAATTGGTATCACTGATCTATGATGATTGGCAATGATACTGAACTGATGCGGCACTGATTTGTGAAGATAGATCTTAACTTTTATTATTACCAATCGATTACAACACATTATATGTACATACATATGTACTAGGGTTACAATTGCCGGCTAGATGAATTATAGATACTAATAAAGACAAAATTCTTCCCCTGAGAGGTTTTCCCATTTGAGTTTCAATACGGTTTCCCCTTAGCTTTGATGCAAAATTACTCGAGGCTTCGCGAAGCACGCCGGGTATTTACTAGTCCTTGTATAATCTTAGTATAATTCTGACTAAATCTTTGACTGCTTTATTTAGATTTACGAAGGATTAGACAAGTATTCGCGATGTGTCACTTTTCAGTAGTAAGTTTTTTTTTTAGTTTTGAGTTATGTCGTTACTGCAGAGTACCGTCGATATGTATGTAAATAATTTTTGTAGGTAGATCCCGTTATTGCGGTCGTGATTATCTCCTAGACTTGTTTGCTATCACATTCGGCTATGTAGCATCACTATACTCCGTCTCCATCTGACAACAGAAGCTCCCTGGATTAAATTCATCAGTGTAGAGTAATTTTTAAATTAAGGCGAAGGAAGTGAGAGTGGATATAAACAATAAATCAGCTAGCTAGCAGGATTAATTACAACTGAAAAGTTAATTACATAGTAGAACACTGAAAATTCTCCAGAGCATAACAAGATTTTATTTTGATACCAATGCATAATTATCGATAATATGTGGCTTTTCTATGAAATTTCTCGTTATAAGCTTTAATTGCCTTTATTGTATTGAGGTGTCTGTCTATGTATATGTATATGCACTCAAGAATACACTTATGCATGTACATATGTATGTATGAATGTACGTTCACGTCTATTAATAAATATACGACCGATAACAACGTGTTTCTCAACGTCTAAGTTATACTTTTTTGATAAAGATGTAATGTACTACCGGGAGATTTGATTGTTTGAAATTCAAATCAAAAAAATATTTCGCAAATAATTTTGCTAGGTATGTATTTTTCTCACACACCTAAGCGACTTTTCACGCACCAATAAATCAACCTCATTTCATTAAACAAAAGAAAAGAAGACTTGGTATTTAGTGGGCAATTTTAACATAATTTTAAAGCAAAGTGATAAATAAGGTGTTGTATAATTCATGCTAATTATTGTTAAATTAAACAGCTTTATAAACTGGTATCAAGCAACGGTAATTTTCCTCTAAAATTGGCCCAATAATGTTATCGCCTGTAAAATGTTAATAAAAATAAAAAGTGCAAAAATAAAAATGAAACTACTGGAAATGAGGTTAAACTTAAATGCGGTAGAATTAAGATGGAAAATCAATAATTTACATTTTTTTGTCTTCAAACTAGGTATCCGTTTGTATGCGTTTTCCGAGGATCTGAAACAGCTGTCTTCTCCGTTTCGTTTTTTTATTTTCTTGCCTAAGTATCCGATTGTTTATTTTTCTGGAAGGTTTTCACTTGAGTCAATGCTATGCTTTTTGCAATTATTAAGCATTACTGTCCGCCAAGTTATTTAAGTATGACAGTTGATTGAAGTACAATCGTTTTGCTTTACACAATTTAATAAGGCACGTACATATGTATGTATGTTGTAAAAGTGAATGGACTGGACCAAATGTGAAATCATCTGCACCGCTTAACGTGAGAAGGTACACGCGATTTATTCGTATGGAGACACAGCGATACCAGTTTATACATATGTTAATGGAACGAAGGCACCTATGCGACTGAGTCTGTCAAGTAGTAGTAACAAATAACCAATTTTGTAGAGAGCATAATGGAAAAATGTCACGAAAAGAGAAACGCGACAAAAGTATTGGCACAATTCGCCACGATTTGTGCTAAACTCCGTTGGTTTTTAATCAAGGTATAATTTGTTTAAACATACAATAATTAGAATATGCCTTTGTTGCCAATTAAAAGAATGTGTACTTCAAGCGTACCCTCAGGTGAATGATGGCAGGGCAAATTTTAGGGGCTTTTGAATTACGTGAATTAGACTTTAGTGAGAAGTTGATGTTACGAAGAGTTCTGTTTAGTAAAGAAGTATTTAATAAATAAATATATATGTAATGTATTTGTTTGTTTATCTATTACGTATTTAAGTTATATGACTAGTTATTGGTTAACTAAACAGGAAATAAAAATGATAAAGGCTTTTTAATAGCGGTAGCGCATGCAAGCTCTATAAAAAACATTTTTTAACAAATTTTTAACCAGGATATAATTTTTGTATGTATGGATATGCAGGTACAATCTATTTTGTTTTTATGAGGCTAAGTTGAAATGTTAATGCAACAGACATTCCGAATTACTGTAATTTTTAGGATAGTAAAAATAAAACGAACTTACATTGGCGTTTGTGAAGCCGATGCAGCAGCGGATGCGAGTTTTAAGGCTTTGGCTGCTTTTGCTGCTCTTGGCGGGGGCGTTGGTCGTTCCGTGTTGGAAATACAGCTTCCAGCAGTAGTAGCACAAAATAAATTTGAATTATCAATGTCTTTTCTGCAGTATATAGGAGTTACCAACGATGGTGACGATGACAGCTTTGTCGGCAGTGAAGATGGTTTTGTATTTGCTTTTAAGGTATTTGTTGCCGTTGATTCTGGATTTTTCGGTGTGGAACAATTCATGACAACCAGTTTCCTGGCAAAAGAAATCACAGCGTTTCGCTACGTGCGGCTTTTATTGCCAACATATAAATTCGTTCAATTCCGAATTAACTCCATGTATCTGGAGTAAATAGTTTGCACATTTCCTGCATTTCCGTCACGATGACTTTTTTGATGCCCTTGTTCAAATTCGGAATTCGGATTTTCTGTATCTCGCGAAGATGACATATGTACATTTATACATACATATGTATGCTGAAGTAATCAAATTTTCCTCAGCGGTTTCTTCTACGTAATTCACATAATTTCAAAACCGTTTGTTTATAAACAATAATAAATACATTGAATAATGTAAAAATGTTCACAATGCGGTTTTTTGCAATTAAATATATGTTATTTCTTCTTTGTTGTCCAATCCCTTTGCCTAATTTGAAGACGTATCCGACGTAAATATGTATGTAAATATGTTTTTACGTTGAAGCTGGGTTGCATTTGGGCATCGTAATAACTTTTTGGTATTTCTGGAAGTCATCAAACTTTTTGGAACACCTAAAGAGCACTGACCTTTGAGCTAGAGAAAAAAAAAGTGGGCGTGGCCCGCCCCCTTTCCCGGATTTTAACGGCATATTTTTTTTTGTGCAAATTGACAGGGGCAGCGGATAGGGGGGCCGAAGGCCGCCTACGCAGAAAGGTATTCTGCCCCTTTCTTTGGCAACACAGAAAGGAGAATTCTACGTTATGAGGATTATAATCCCTAAGCGCGGCCGAAGGCCGCCAACGCAGAAAGGTATTCTACGCAAAAATACTGTGGATAGTGTAGCTTGATTAATTATCCATTTAATTCTACAACTCAATCTTATAACAAATAAGGCGATTAAAAAAAAATAGTTTGTATATATTCCTTTAGTATTTTTTTCGCTTTTCCTTTTCCATATAAAACTATATTTTTATATATATTTTATCAAATATGATGTCCACAAGAATTTTTTGCTACAAGTCATATATAGTTAACGGTATTTTGTGCTCTTTCTGATAAACATATCTGTTAATATAGTTAGTTACGTATTTTTTTACGAAAAACATACATTGTTATAAAAAAAATTGCCATAATTTGGTTTTTTTTTATATTTTCTCAAATTATGTTTGCGTTATGTATGTAGATATATATACTGAATGAAAGGTCCTTCAATTACCTTTCCAACTGTCCATATTTTTTTTTTATTTGTTATTTATTTTGAAAATCGGTTTAATAGTTTTCAAAATATAAGCTTTTGAAAATTTTGGAAATTCCACGTTAATCCCCCCTAGCGGCCGCTGTCAATTTGCAACAAAAAAAGTTTACCATTAAACTCAGCAGAAAAGGTTGCACCATGTCCATGTTTTCTTATTTCTCTAGCTCAAGGGTCAGTATTCTTTTGGTATGCCAACTTTTTTCATAAATTTAAATTTATTCGCCAGCGGCAATTAATTTTTTTATTTACTTCTTAATTTGGTGCAATGAACAAATAAGAAAAACTTATTTAAAATAGTATGTTTTAATTTTATTTGGGTTACCCGTTGCTATAATCCCTGCTTTAACCCTCATTCGTAAATAATGGTGATAAGAAGGAATCGATAGTGATGTGCTGAATTTACGGTACCCAATACTTAAGAAAGATTTTGTCACCCAATACTTCCTTTTCGGTACCCAATACCTATTCTATACATAATTGCGGCTTTTTGACATAATTTTCAACAGAATATCTGTCAAAAAAGTAGCATCGACTTTACTCGGATTATGAATATGCTTCACAATGGCTGCATTACTTTACTCATTCTGAACGTTTGGAATAAACTTTTTGGTTTATTTATTATTTAGAACGTTCCTGATGATATGTTGACGTATATTTCAGACGCATTATGTTTATTCCGGCTGTGAAATGGGATTATCCGGAATGTATAAAGAAACGCAGCCAATAAGTACGAGTAAGACGACGCTGTCCCAAAAGTTGAACAATTTGTACTAAGCAATGTGGAAACCACATATCAAAACACTCTCAGCGCTTTCTTGATACTGTGGCAACAGTAAACTTCCATTTTATCAGTTTCTACCTTCGTAGATCTAAAATTTAAGAAAATTCTTTGACGGATGAAGGAAGTCTTTCAAGGCCCCGGTCAAAAATCAGCTGGTTTGAATTCGTTCTATACATTTTTGTTCTTAATGTTGGTTTGCCACATACGCGTGCGTCTAAAATTGAGAGTTGGGCAAATTTTATCAGATGCGTCAACGCATGCGTTGCCAACAGGACGTCTTCTATTAAATATCAGCAGAGTCGACTTGGATGTCTGTCAAAAGCATCCCTGTGACGCAGAAAAGAATTTCTATCGGGCGGAGCCTTCATGCCTACAAAGTTAACATCGTCCGATTCGTCCAGAAAGAAATGTTTCAAATAAGAAAGTTTCTCTGCATTGTGGCGATGGACAATGGAAATTAAAACCTCAATTAGCCCCCACCCTTGCTTTTGATATGCTAGGCTCCCCTAAACCGCTTTTATTTTTGGTCTACATGCGTTCTTATTGGAAGCCCAAACGTTTCGGTACCGAGTATCGAAAGTATTGGATACTTATATCGGTACCGAGTGTCGATGAATTCTTCAAAGTATTGACTCTGCACATCACTAGGAATGGAAACGTTTGGCATATGCCATGATTGTGAGCAAGAATGATTATAGGGCATTCGCACGCCGAGATTTTTCAGGCAACTTTTAGTTGAAAGCAAAAATCGCCTCGTCCGAACGGCCTTTCAACTAATCGCTTTCAACAAAATTGGTCGCCAGCCAACTTTGAGCTCGTTCAACTTTTTTTTCCTTGCAACCCTGTGTTTGTTTACATTCTGTATCAGTGTTGGGAGATAAAATTGTTCCTTCAGTACGAAATCTATTCATAAAATATACTTTTCGGCTATAAATTGTTTTTTAATTCGCTCATATATTACAACGCTTTTATCAACTTGCAATGTTGTATTCCAGAAACTTTCAATGTTGTGTGTCCGACACCATAAAGCAAAGCTTTGAAAAGCTCCTATAAAAAAGCATAGTGAATAGGGCGAGGTAGATGACATCTAGATGTCGCCCTATGTACAACGTTTGCTACACCGGNAATAATATAAAAAAAACTTTTTAATATACAACGCTTTTATAAATGGACTAAAAAGTAGAAAATAATACTTCTCAGTCCCATAGAATTTGTTTTGATAACTTTTGATTTTGAAATTTTAGCAAAAGTCATTATAAACAATCTATGAAATTGAAAATGAAAAGCGTGGGGCGCATGCAATACAAAGCATTCGACAAAAGCATGGACAAAAGAGACATTTTCTTTGGATTCAGTATTAAAATTTGACATTTTAATAGCATTTCAAGTGCTTATCAAAACTTTACGATAAGATTTGACCATTTATCTTAATATTATTCAATTTTAATTATTTTTTGTAAAAATACGGTTTATATTTTAAGAAAAGCCGTACAAATCCAAGGTTCAAACTTTGTGCAACATTAAAAAAACCAACACACTTTCGTAAAAATTTCGAGGTTCTTAATTCGATTTCCTAGATTTATTTAGAATGTGCGGTTTTTAGCCCACTAAATTTTAATATAATTAAGTTTTTTATGAAGGTGTTGCTAATTTTCTCCATATAAAAAAAATCGTCGAACACACTTCGTATGGAAGAAAATGGCTGACATCGTCGACAAAAAAAATTGCCAAGTTCAACGGTAAGTCCCAGCTACTTTAAACTTGCATTTTATTATACTAAAATTGAATGGGCTAAAAACTAAAAATATTAATAAAACTCGATATTTTTACGAAAGTATGTTACACTTTACAATACTTGTTAAAGCAATACAACGCTTTACTAAACTTGTTAACACAATTAAACTTATAGCTTGCTTATTCGGAACTCACTTCTCTGCTCACTTTACTTGTAGCTTGCTGACTTGTAACTCACTCACTTCGCTGTGGCGGCGCCCTTATATACCTGCGCTGGAACTTCTCTTTCTCTCGCTGTTCGCAGTGTTCATCCAACTTGACGTCTCTCTTTGTGGAACATTCTACGTCGTTCCTCGAACATCTGCCTATTTCTCGTTGTTCGCTTTGTGTTGCCGCAGTATTCGCCACACTGCCCTCCACCTAAGTCTGATCAGACACATTTGCTGCTCCAAACGTTGCTAGTATTTCATCTTGGTTCTCGGTCTACCCATTGTCTGGATTAGATGCACTGCGTCTTAAAGCTGTTCGTTAACCTTAAACGGATCTTCCCAGTTACGATGTTGTTCAGAGGTGAAGCCTTTCTTCAGCTGCGGCATGTGCAACAACACCAAATCGCCTTCCTGTAGTTCCTCCCGGCTCGATGCGTTACTGGACATTGCTTCCAGCTTATCTCCGGTGGTGCACCATCTCATATGGTCGTGCTTCTGCCGGCCACTGGTGGTGACCAGACCATGTATCCTCTCGTGGACACCCTTTTTGCCAGATCTATGCCGCATCCTCTGTCCATGACACCCAGGCTCTAGCCTTCGTGTTGCACTGCCTTTAGCACATCTTGCTAAATCTGGTTCCTCACGCATAATCTTGCCCAGTGTTTCCGCATCTCGCTCTTTTGCCGGCGTTAACCTCATTGACCGGACATGTATAACCTCATCCTAGGCCTCCGGCTTAACTGCTCGCCTTTGCCGACCACCTTTTTCGGGACACTTCAAAGCGCGCCTACTGCTACCACAGCCGCTTCAATTTCAGGCCACTAGCGTATCACCATTGCAATGTGGTTTAGCGGCTTTCCGCCTGCCGGAAACACTGCCTGGCTTGCCATGACTACTTCCTTGTTGCGACCTCTTCTTCACTGAGCTGGCGGAACCGTCACGCTTTTCCTGTATCGGTGAACCGTTTCCTTCTCCTGACGAAATCACTCCGTCTCCATCACTGCCAACCTCCGCCCAACTAACCGCTTCCGTTTCTGGTGGAATCTTCGACACTTCCTCTAAGACTAACCGTCTGCTGCACCACTGGCTGTCGTAACCAACCCTAAGTGGCACTTTCCTGTGACGATCTGTCAGGATAATTCTCTGGAGGTCAATCTTCATGCCTTGGCCAAGTAAGAAATTCACGCCGATGATGACTTCATCCACAATGTCTGCCACTATAAACTTAGTGTACGAGGCCACACCGCCGATTATTACATCGCATGGTACTTCTCCTAACACTTGGGTGCGTTCACCAGTTGTAGTCTGCAGCTTTGCTCCAGGCAGTGTTTGCATTTACTACTCCATAGTAGCAATAGCAACAATCGTATTGATTCGCTTATGCTACCGCTCTACATTTGAAGAGAGCAGTAGCAGAGCAGGTAGTACAAAACGCGAAAAGCATTTGTATTACTCGGCTCCCGTCTGAGCTTCGTTGTACTACT